GTGATGGACCGCCTGGCACCCCGACCAGGTACCTCCATCAATCGCTGCTTCCTAGTACTTGTAAGTACCATTACCACCGTAGAACCCACGAACCGCCGCAGCTTTGTTGGGGTCTAGCCGTCCTCCACCCACCCAGGACCCAAGACCAGGATCCTGCTTCCAGTGGGTAGACCTCTCCTAGTCCAGAGAGTCAAGCAGGAACAGCTCTTATAAGAGCAAGTGATTATACTCAGGGGAGTATTGTGATATAGCAATCCCCAGAGTGAATGTAATTCTTCAATTCCCCAAACATGAGCTAAGACTTCATGAAGGGATAAACAAATCCCTCTTTAATGGGAGCCACACTGGCCTTTTATGCAAGTCCCTAAGCAAGGTGTACACCCACATGGACAGGTGGGGACAGGGCAGAAACTTACAAACCAGATTCCATAGCGCTGTACAATAATAACACATTTACAATGTAAGGCACTCCCATACACAGCACACAATCCCTCCCATCTGCTTGGGAGATAATTGGATCAGTAACTGTACTAATTCTAATCCAATTATCTCCAAGCACAGAAAAAATGCCCCAAAAGTACCCCAAAGATACATAAAACTCCATAAATGTTACATTCCCTGATAGCCCTCATCTGGGTGACCAACATATCCAAAAATCACCCAGCTCAGTTTAGGGGTTCAGGAATTTCCTGGAAGTCTTATTTGTGACCAACCGTGCACATGGTCCTATGCCCAAAACAATTCCTGGGAATCAGGGCTAACGGTCGGTGTGGTGACATTCTGTCATCAAACTAATATGGTGACCAGGGATCACGTGACCAAGCTCTTACAGTGGGATAAGCTTTACCTTTTGATATGGAAATGGAGTAATTCAATACCTTTCAGGAAAAAGATAACCACTTCCCCCTTTCTCCATTCCTCTCTGTTCCTTCTTGGCTGTGCTACTGAACAGTCCCTTAAGCAGACATGGCCTAATTTCTATCATGGTGAACTGTGAGTGGGATCTGGTGATTTTATAAGATGTAGTTGTTATCGTTAGTTAGGTTGTTGTTGCTGTTGTTGTTGGTATAATTAGATTGTGTGTCATTATTTGTATGTTGTTGTTGTTTTGTCTCTGAATAAATATTTGTTAAAGTAGACGGACCAGAGTTTATATGTGTATGCGTACATAATAATTTATAGAGTTTGGTAATACACCACAGTCGGTCTCTCTGTCTGCAGTACAAAAGTACATAACTCACATGAACAGAGCCTTTTAAAGTATTTTAGCCAGATCTATTGCAGGGGCCATAGTCACAGGGTAGGAGGCTGGCAAACAGGCCCAGATCTGAGCACAGTAGATAGGCGAATAGTGCTCAGATCTCACGAACGGTATAGCCAGTCTTTTTCATACAAAGTCTTTTCGTGCCTTTTTGTCCCGAACACGAGATGGCGGCCATGTTTTCAGGCGGGTGAATAGAGAGCGGGACCTGGCCCTAAAACCCCTGGAGCGAGTAACGGATAAACAGTTGCGCGAATACAGTTCAGTGGATGGTTGTCCCAGCCCTTCGTGAGCCGAACAGAGACCGCCATGAAGGGGGTACTTAGCTTGCGGTTAACTGCAGACCCAACGTTCTAATTGGGGCCACACGCCTGAGTGTAGGTGGTCCTCGTTCGGGAGTTTCAGTTCGATGAATTATTATCCGAACAAGGCCATCCTGAGGCAGTCAATTAGGCTTGTGGTTAACCGCAGACCACAGCTCTCAGGTGGTCAATTGGAAGCACACTTCGCTTGTAAAATGGTTGGCCGTTCGGTTGTTTCAGAGGTGAAAGAGGTTAAGTGTCGGCACACGCCAAGGGCCGGGTGGTCTTTGTTCGTATGCACAAATACATAGTCCTGACTGTTCGTGTAATGTGTTTATCCAGTAATACTACCGAAACAGAGTATACGGTACAATAAAACAAGATAATCCAGTAACTATCTGTAGAGCACCCGTAACAGGGGAGATTGTCACAGTAAGTGTTCTCTCTGTGTGGTCGTAGTTCGTACAAACGAATGCCACTTAGTGGAGAAAAAGGCAGCCATGTTGTCACACGAAAGCATGCAGCGGGACTCTGTAGTCTAGTGTGGAAACTCTAAAGGTGGAAACTCGACGGCGCGAACACCGGTAAAAAATGTTTGCGGCAAGCCAGGAGAGCACTATTCGGTACGTTTGCTCATATGGACTTCATGAACAAATGCTACCAATGAGCCAGGGGAACAGTTCCCCTTTTCATTTGTTTTGGAACTCCCTAACATGACCAACCAGTGGCGTACACACAACCTATGGGGCCCCGGTGCGAAAACTGATCCGTGCTTACTCGGGGGCTGGGGCTGCAACACAAGGTGGCGGGAACTTGGTCGCAGGGGTCGAAGGGCTGCGACCCCTGCGTCCGCGGTATGTACGCCAGTGCATGTAGATACACACACACTTAAAGGACCACTACAGACACCCAGATCACATCAGCTCAATTAAGTGGTCTGGGTGCCAGGACCCTCTAGTTTTAACCCTGCAACTGAAAACATAGCAAAGAAACTGCAATGTTTCACTGAGGGTTAATCCAGCCTCTAGTGGCTGTCTCATTCACAGCCGCTAGAGGAGCTTCCGCGATTCTCACTGGGAAAATCACAGTGAGAAGACACTGAACGTCCATAGGAAAGTATTGAGTAATGCTTTCCTATGGGCGGTTTGAATGTGTGCGTGGCTCTTGCCACGCATGCGCATTCGGAGCTGAGAGGCGGATCAGGGCGGAGAGATCCCCAGCGCTGGAGAAAGGTAAGTGCTTAAGACACACACACACACACACTCTCACGAACAGACGCATACACACTAGCTAACAGACACACACATGTACTGACAGAGACACACTCAGCGACAGACATACATACACACTCACAAAACATACACTCACTAACAGACGCACACAAACTAACACACTCAGTAACACTCACTGACACACTAACACTAACACCCACACTCTAATACTAACACACACTCTAACACATAGTGCATCCTGCTGTTATCTTTTCCAAGTTAAATGCCGCACACACACCCAGCCATCCACCTAATCTAAATGAAAACATGATTTATCAGACCAAGCAACCTTCTTCCATTGCTCCATGGTCTAGCTTCAAACACAGCAAATTATGATACACTGTGTGTTCTGACATCTTTCTATCATGACCAGCATAACATTTATCTATATTTAACATTTCTCTAGTAGCTCTTTTGTGTGATTGTTGAGGCTTTTGAAAGGTGGTTCCCAGGAGGCAGTAGTAAGTCAAATGCGAGGTACTGAACAGGGATGAGAAAACCTGAGTCAGGGAAAGCAGAGGTCAGGGCCAGCAGCACCGGTTCAGAAATGCAGTCAAGGATCAGATAATAACAGGATTCACAGAAGTGTACACACCAAAGAGCACAGTATAACGGAGCACTTAGGTAAGGGTAGACTGAGGTTATGTAGGGGAGAGGGGTATCCACCTATCACATACCATTGGCTGAAAAGTGATTAGTCCCTTTAAAAGATTTTAAGTGTTCTGTCCCTTTAAGAGGCAGACTTTCGGGAATTCACATGCCTAGAATCTGTGTTCACATGTGGATTCGGTTGGAGCTCCCTGCAAACCGTGGCGTTTTGTGGAGAGCTTCTGTACCATGTACAGCAGGGATGTTAGCGGTTTGTCCCTGTGGCCGAGTTTACCGGAGTCCTCAAGAGGGCTGAGAGGGAACAGCAGCAGCCACAAACAGAGACGTGGCGAGGGACCTCCAGGTAAGTGTAAACGTGACAGCGTTCACACTAGAAGAGGCTAGCCTTCCCTCCCCATGTGCATCAATGAGGCTTGGGTTCCCATGACCCTGACATCATTTGTTGTCCTTCCTTGCACCGGTTTCAGTAGGCACTAACCACTGCATACCGTGAACATCCCAGATGACTTCCCATTTTGGTGATGCTCTGACTCAGTCATGAACTCATCACTATTTGGGCCTTGTCAAAGTCACTCAGATCATTTTGTTTGCTAATTTTTCCTGCTTCCAACACACTTCACCTGTTAGTGGTTTTAATGTTGTGGCTGATAAGTGTAGATTTATGAATTTGACGGTTTGAGTCACTTGATGAGAATCACCTAATATAACTCTACGATGACACAGGAGATACACAGTGGAGTTCCTTTGGGACATACAGACAATATTATAACATATTAATAAAGAAGGAAGTATACAAACTAAAAAATATAATAAATGAAATAAATATACGTTTAATTAAAGTGTTCCCAGGTGTACCTCACTGACACCTAATATAGTGAATAACAGGGAAAAAAACACCAAAAAAAAACCCAAAAAACGTACAATAATATATATGGTACAACCTGGAAAAATAGATCTGGGTTGAATGGATCCTACTGAGGATATATAATGAATCTACAATAATGATAAAAACATATCATAGTCTAACATGGTTAAAAAATAATAAAAAATTGTGATGTGGTAGCAAACTCACAAACATATGTGGAAAACTATCTTCTCTCCCCACTTGGGGTAAATTGATGTCTGAAATTGATAGTAGATCCTGATATCATAGAATCTTCAATATAATAGAGGAAAAGAACCATATATGTATAAAAATAGAAAATCATTTTATTTGATTGCACTTACAAACTGGCAGAAGATGCATGCATATCTCTACTGCAAGTGGTATTCAGGTACAACAAGATGAAACTGGATATAACCCAATCTTAGCCGTAGAAAATAAAAACAATAAAATACATAGAGAAATAAATAAAATAAATCAAAAGTCCGACCAATCCGACACGTTTCGTCCAAAGGGTAGAAGAACTTCTTCAGGGATCTGGATAATTCTTCATATGGGATGCTTCTTATAGTACTCCTAATTGAATTCTTCGGTGGGGTGCGTTCCACCGTTGGGGCGCAATTACGTACTTCCTGTAAAGTAACTGGCGCGTTCATTCATAGCATGAATAAAGTTCCAAACTCTAGAGACTTGTCTCACAATAGAGCGTGCGCATGTCTAAAAGGCATGCGCACGCAGACAGAATCTAAATACAAGAGAAAAAACACAGGGATACCGGCGAACTGTCGCCATAAATGAGATAACATACCAATATACATGACCACATATATAAACAATGATAATAATGATAACAATGATAATAACATATTACATGATGGTTTTGTAGCGGATCGGCAATATTAAAACCCACGAATTCCGCTGGTACATACAGTAATCCACAGTCAGCGCTAAAAAGTAAGGCAATATCCCACATCCCCCAGTAACCGGACGAAACACAGTTCTGGGAGTCAACAGACGGCTTTATTCACATGCTCCAGAATTTATACATTTCCCCATGCAAGGGGTTTCCTGAGTCACATCACAGGGGTATTACAGGAGTGGACTACATGGGAAACTTAATGTACAGAGCATTTCTCCCATCAGGCACTGCTGCACGAGAGGGACCCTCCCACTGGAACGTACAGTTAAGTGGATTATCCCTCCGTGCAGCAGAACCGACAATTCACATAAAATTATACAACTTCCCCAATATTGGAGTAATTTACACGAATGGACGTTCGGTAGATAGCTGGGGTCTGAGCACATAATTCGTGAGATTACCGCTCAGATCCCAGCTAAAACAACCGAACGCCGCACGAAAAACGTATTCGCCAACACATGTATTCAAACGACCGATTGACATACGGGGAGTAAAGTACCGAAGGTCCCGGAACTCCCGAACGGCCTGGAGGTCCAGTGGTGTTCGCGCCGTCGAGTAGCCTTTTCAGTACCACGCGCTCGACGACCGAACACCGCTGGAGGAACAAAGGATCCAAGATGGCCGACCGCAGCATGGTCGGTAGTCGAACGACGGTCACCTAGGAGAGCCTCTAATTACCCAGGCCTCAAATCAAGCGCCACACGTCTCTTAATGTGTGGGCTATTACAAGTTAGTTTATTCGGTTCACGAACAGCCCGCAAAGGCGTTGTTCGTGAAACGAAATGAAATACAGCTATCTGCTTTCGGCAGATAGCCAATGCTGGCAATGCAATATTATACAGTCAGAATACATTACACCCAGGAACACACACATCACCACAACCATACAGGCAACCCTTAAAGCCATAGTCTCTGTATATTGTCCAAGTGGCTAGGTTTGCCACAGTTATTATCATTGTTTATATATGTGGTCTTGTATGTCGGTATATACAATGTTATCACATTTATGGCAACAGTTGGCCGGTATCCCTGTGTTTGTTCTCTTGTATTTAGATTCTATCTGTGTGCGCATGTCTAAAAGGCATGCGCACGCTCTATTGCGAGACAAGTCTCTAGAGTTTGGAACTTTATTCATGCTACAAATGAATGCGCCAGTTACTTCACAGGACGCACAGGAAGTACGTAATTGCACCCCAACAGTGGAACACACGCCACCGAAGAATTAAATTAAGAAGAATTAGGAGAACTATAAGAAGCATCCCATATGAAGAATTATTCAGATCCCTGAAGAAGTTCTTCTACCCTTTGGACGAAGCGCTTTGGTTTGGTCGGACTTTTGATTTATTTTATTTATTCCTCTATGTATTTTATTGTTTTTATTTTCTACGGCTAAGATTGGGTTATATCCAGTTCCATCTTGTTGTACCTGAATTCCACTTGCAGTGGAGATATGCATGCATCTTCTGCCAGTTTGTAAGTGCAATCAAATAAAACGATTTTCTATTTTTATACATATATGGTTCTTTTCCTCTATTATATTGAAGATTCTATGATATCAGGATCTACTATCAATTTCAGACATCAATTTACCCCGAGTGGGGAGAGAAGATAGTTTTCCACATATGTTTGTGAGTTTGCTACCACATCACAATTTGTAATTATCTTTTAACCATGTTACACTATGATATGTTTTTATCATTATTGTAGATTCATTATATATCCTCAGTAGGATCCATTCAACCCAGATCTATTTTTCCAGGTTGTACTATATTAATATTATAACATAAATGCTATCAGAGATACGATCATATAAGCTAATAATTTATTCCAGGTGCAACAGCAGGTAGGAGACCCTATATGTAGAAAGCAATCAATTCAGCCATGATTCCATATTGTGTTCTGCTCTAAAGCTCATGGTTTACACTTGTTTCAATTTGTAGCAATACGTGAAGCTTTTTTTTTTTTTTTTTTTAATTCAGCTTAAGACTTGGTTCTTATTTCTTATATACAATGTATTTTGTCCCTTGAACGATCACTAAAATTTTCTCTCTAATGTATGACTCATCTTATATATAAAAGGCTTCAGCTGCTGGTAATACTTACCCCACTCGGAAGAACAAAATGTTTTTTTCTCAAATGTAAAGCAAGATTAGCAGCCTGGGTAAAACATTTCCCACAGTCAGTGCAGGTAAATGGTTTTTCTCTAGTATGAATCTTGTGATGTCTCATAAGATCATATTTTTGGGTAAAATGTTTCCCACATTCAGGGCATTTAAATGTTTTTTCTCCTGTATGAATCTTTTTATGTGACTTAAGTCTTGAGGACTGGCTAAAACATTTCCCACAATCAATGCATTTAAATGGTTTATCTCCTTTGTGAATCATCTGATGTCTAGTAAGAGTAGATTTTAGAATAAAACATTTCCCACATTCTGAGCATTTAAATGGTTTTTCAGATGTGTGAATCATCTGATGCTTATTAAGAGTAGATTTTAGATTAAACCTTTTCCCACATTCAGAGCATTTAAACGTTTTTTCTGCAGTGTGAATCATTACATGTGATGCAAGATTTGAGGCCTGGGTAAAACATTTTCCACATTCCGTGCAGTTAAATGGTTTTTCTCCTGTGTGAATCTTGTTATGCCTGATTAGATCATACTTATGGGTAAAACATTTTCCACATTCTGCGCATTTAAATGGTTTCTCTCCTACGTGAATCATCTGATGTCTAGTAAGAGTAGCTTTTAGAATAAAACATTTCCCACAATCAGTGCATTTAAATGGTTTCTCTCCTATGTGAATCATCTGATGTCTTGTAAGAGTAGCTTTAAGAATAAAACATTTCCCACAATCAGTGCATTTGAATGGTTTTTCTCCTGTGTGAATCATTACATGTGATGCAAGATGTGTCCTCCGGGTAAACATTTTGCCACATTCAATGCACTGAAATGGTTTTTCCCCTGTGTGACTCTTTTTAGGATTAATTATATTAGCCTTTGTGATACATTTATTTCCACATTCAGAGCCTGAGAATTGTTGTTTTCCCGTATCAGAAGCAGCCATCTTGTTTTCTTTGTCAACTGATTGAAGTTTTACAAGCTCTGTGTTATTATTAAAACTTTGTGGACAGTAAGTGCAGTCAAATATTGGATCTGTGTTAGATTTCCTCTTGGGAGATTTATCAGATTCATCATTAATACACTTATCAGGTTTGCTAGAACGTATTAAGGATATCCGAGGGGTTATTGTTAATGGGAGATTTCCTTCCTCGTGTGAGTCTGGTTCCTCCTTAATATGATTATTTGGATAGTCTATGGGTGTATAAATGTCTGTGAGATATTCTTCTTCACATGACCCGGATTCCTCCTTACTATGAGAAGGATAGTCTGTCTGTGGATGATCTGTGGATATATACATGTTATTTCCTGTTGGATTCCCTTTGCCACAGGGCTGAGAGTTTTGTAACACGTACATTACAGATGTACTCTGACTTTTCCCTGCGGTGTTGAATTTAGGGGATTTTCCTCCATTAGGGGTTTCATCATCGGGTTTAGAAACAGTTTGCAACCCACCAAATTCACATTTTTCTAATGGAAGAAAAAGCACATTAATACCTCATAAATTACTTCAAAAACAAATACAACAAATATAAAATGTGTTGAATTGTTTCTCCATGTACCAGTCCCAAAGTGATTACACATCCTCTTACCCAGTGATTCGTGAGGCTGTCGATTCTCTATTGTTATATCCTTGCAGCGATCACTGTGTCCTTCTAAATACTCCCACTCCTCCATGGAGAAATAGACAGCAACATCCTCACACCTTATAGGAACCTGACACACACAGTAATACAGTCAGCATCCAGACACGTCATTTTACAGTATAATGACCCATTTCCCAGCAGCCTCACCTCTCCAGTTAGAAGCAAAATGATCTTATTGGTCAGTTCCAGGATCTTCTTGTCATTGAGCCTCCCACACATCTTTGAGCATGTCAGGGGAAGCATGCTAGGGCCCTGGGTATTAAAGCTGTGTAGGTCTTTCCCATCAGAACTCTTCACAATTATGTGATCCTAAATATTGAATGTGAGATTAATACAAATGACACAAGATTTTACATTTTCCAGATTCTTTCCCACTTTCATGTTTCTATGTTCTCGTATGTACAAAATAAGATTTCATATACCCTAAAATTTCAAATTACATTTTTACTGTTGGTAAGTTGATTCACATCTTTCCTTTCTCAAATGTGTCCATACCAAACCCAAAGCCCAGTTCCCTTTCATAGTGTATATTATTTATGTCACTGTATCATTCCCAGAGTGACCAGATAACATCCAGGCTGACATTACCCAGAATCCCTCACCTTTCCAGCCAGCAGGTAGATGATCTCCATAATGACATTACCCAGAATCCCTCACCTCTCCAGCCAGCAGGTAGATGATCTCCATAATGACATTACCCAGAATCCCTCACCTTTCCAGCCAGCAGGTAGATGATCTCCAGGCTGACATTACCCAGAATCCCTCACCTCTCCAGTCAGCAGGTAGATGATCTCCATAATGACATTACCCAGAATCCCTCACCTCTCCCAGCAGGTAGATGATCTCCATACTGACATTACCCAGAATCCCTCACCTCCCCAGCCAGCAGGTAGATGATCTCCATAATGACATTACCCAGAATCCCTCACCTCCCCAGCCAGCAGGTAGATGATCTCCATACTGACATTACCCAGAATCCCTCACCTCTCCAGTCAGCAGGTAGATGATCTCCATACTGACATTACCCAGAATCCCTCACCTCTCCAGTCAGCAGGTAGATGATCTCCATACTGACATAACCCAGAATCCCTCACCTCTCCAGTCAGCAGGTAGATAATCTCCATACTGACATTACCCAGAATCCCTCACCTCTCCAGTCAGCAGGTAGATGATCTCCATACTGACATTACCCAGAATCCCTCACCTCTCCAGTCAGCAGGTAGATGATTTGCATAATGACATTACCCAGAATCCCTCACCTCTCCAGTCAGCAGGTAGATGATCTCCATACTGACATTACCCAGAATCCCTCACCTCTCCAGTCAGCAGGTAGATGATCTCCATACTGACATTACCCAGAATCCCTCACCTCTCCAGTCAGCAGTTAGATGATCTCCATAATGACATTACCCAGAATCCCTCACCTCTCCAGCCAGCAGGTAGATGATCTCCATAATGACATTACCCAGAATCCCTCACCTCTCCAGTCAGCAGGCAGATGATCTCCATGGTTAGATCCAAGATCTTCGCAGCCACCTGATTCCTGTTCTTCTTCATCGTTTGTTAAAATGGACTCTAGATTTACTAGAATTCTGCAATTAGATATTCAGATAATGTTTTAGAGACACTTGTCACTTTCAAGTTTTGAGTACAACCAGCTATCCAACTAAAAGTTGGCTATTGGCTCTGCTAATTTTTTTTCTTTTTTTTTTTTTTTTTCCTCAGCACCATATACACACACACACATATACAGTGCCCCCCATACACACAGTGACACACACATACAGTGCCACCCATACACACACACACTGCCCCACACACACATACAGCGCTCCCTATACACACCCTGCCCCCCCCACACACACAGTGCTCCCCATACACACATACAGTGCCACACACACACACACACACTGCTCCCCATACACACACATATACAGTGCCCCCCATACACACATTGCCCCACACACAGACATACAGTGCTCCCCATACACACACACACACACACACACAGGGCTCCCCATACACACACTGCCCCCCACACACACACACATACAGTGCTCCCCATACACACACTGTCCCACACACACACACATACAGTGCTCCCCACACTGTCCCACACACACACATACAGTGCTCCCCACACACACACTGCAACCCTGACATACACGGCCGCCCTCACGCACTCCACCACTCACACACACACTGCACCCCTAACACATATCACTGCTCCTATGCCCTATATCCCAGCAGACCCCAGGTAAGTTGTCAAACTGTTCTTAAACGGTTTGACTACTTACTCTGGGATGGGATCCTGGCACTACTGGAACCATAACTACTACACTGAGCTGTTGTGGTTACTGTGCCTGGATTATTTCTTCAAATAACCTACAAGTGCCCCTCCCGAGATCAGGCTCTGGATCCGCCACTGAGCAGATCAGGGGAACCTTGAACAAAGGTTAGGTCGCTATCCAGAATTACTACTGACAGAATTGTAAAATATAATTTAGTAGTGTTAAAACAGGTGGCAAAAGAAGTAAAATCAACTGTTGTACTGAAGAAGCTTGAATACAACATTAAAGTCTAGCCATAACCGGTTAAACTGTAGACCCTCAGCGGCAAGCCTGTAATGGAGAACAAGATAAGTGGTCAGTAACAAAGTGGTCAATTCCAGGGATATGGTCATATATCGATAAAGTAGTAATTAGCATCTGACCAAGTCAGTATTCTCACCAAGTGCATATGACAAGATCTGCTCGAGGCATATGGAGATACACGAGAAATGCCACAGGTGAGCCAAAATAATGAAATGACCCTAGAGTTATGACATAGGAACCGAGGATAACTTAAATCGCATATTACCAATCCAATCATTTGAAATAAGGAGCCAGAGCGTGAGTGAATACACGCGAGCACATGAAAATACAAATATATGCATACACACCCCCCCACCCACTACATACCTTCATATTAAGATATGTATGATGTATATCGTGATTATCTACAGTTTGCGTGCCAGGCATAAAACTGATCCGATCTGATTGAGAACATGCAGAGATTATTGCTGGAGCCCAATCCCTTCCCCCCAGTGTCTGCACACACAGAGAGCAGGAATCCCTAATTCTAGGATCAATGGGAACATGCAGAGATTATTGCTGGAGCCCAATCCCTTCCCCCCAGTGTCTGCACACACAGAGAGCAGGAATCCCTAATTCCAGGATCAATGGGAACATGCAGAGATTATTGCTGGAGCCCAATCCCTTCCCCCCAGTGTCTCCACACACAGAGAGCAGGAATCCCTAATTCCAGGATCAATGGGAACATGCAGAGATTATTGCTGGAGCCCAATCCCTTCCCCCCCAGTGTCTGCACACACAGAGAGCAGGAATCCCTAATTCCAGGATCAATGGGAACATGCAGAGATTATTGCTGGAGCCCAATCCCTTCCCCCCAGTGTCTCCACACACAGAGAGCAGGAATCCCTAATTCCAGGATCAATGGGAACATGCAGAGATTATTGCTGGAGCCCAATCCCTTCCCCCCAGTGTCTGCACACACAGAGAGCAGGAATCCCTAATTCCAGGATCAATGGGAACATGCAGAGATTATTGCTGGAGCCCAATCCCTTCCCCCCAGTGTCTGCACACACAGAGAGCAGGAATCCCTAATTCCAGGATCAATGGGAACATGCAGAGATTATTGCTGGAGCCCAATCCCTTCCCCCCAGTGTCTGCACACACAGAGAGCAGGAATCCCTAATTCCAGGAACAATGGGAACATGCAGAGATTATTGCTGGAGCCCAATCCCTTCCCCCCAGTGTCTGCACACCCAGAGAGCAGGAATCCCTAATTTCAGGATCAATGGGAACATGCAGAGATTATTGCTGGAGCCCAATCCCTTCCCCCCAGTGTCTGCACACACAGAGAGCAGGAATCCCTAATGCCAGGATCAATGGGAACATGCAGAGATTATTGCTGGAGCCCAATCCCTTCCCCCCAGTGTCTGCACACACAGAGAACAGGAATCCCTAATTCCAGGATCACTGGGAATATGCAGAGATTATTGCTGGAGCCCAATCCCTTCCCCCCAGTGTCTGCACACACAGAGAGCAGGAATCCCTAATTCCAGGATCAATGGGAACATGCAGAGATTATTGCTGGAGCCCAATCCCTTCCCCCCAGTGTCTGCACACACAGAGAGCAGGAATCCCTAATTCCAGGATCAATGGGAACATGCAGAGATTATTGCTGGAGCCCAATCCCTTCCCCCCAGTGTCTGCACACACAGAGAGCAGGAATCCCTAATTCCAGGATCAATGGGAACATGCAGAGATTATTGCTGGAGCCCAATCCCTTCCCCCCAGTGTCTGCACACACAGAGAGCAGGAATCCCTAATTCCAGGATCAATGGGAACATGCAGAGATTATTGCTGGAGCCCAATCCCTTCCCCCCAGTGTCTGCACACACAGAGAGCAGGAATCCCTAATTCCAGGATCAATGGGAACATGCAGAGATTATTGCTGGAGCCCAATCCCTTCCCCCCAGTGTCTGCACACACAGAGAGCAGGAATCCCTAATTCCAGGATCAATGGGAACATGCAGAGATTATTGCTGGAGCCCAATCCCTTCCCCCCAGTGTCTGCACACACAGAGAGCAGGAATCCCTAATTCCAGGATCAATGGGAACATGCAGAGATTATTGCTGGAGCCCAGGGGGAGCTCTCTATCTGATATAATGTGTATTTTACTCACACTGACCTGCAGCAGCCTGTGTCCTCCCAGCACAACAAGAGAGGGGGGAGCTCTGATATGAGAAGTCATGTGACTGCAGCTGTCACATGATCCAGGAAATAGCTGATAAATTGCTGGGATTCCCTCCTGAGCTCTGAGCTGGCTGGATCCAGAGAGAGAGGGGGGCACAGGGGGATCACACAGCAGCACATTCCCTGCACTTTTATATTATTTTATTATTGGGAGTCCTGCCCCAGGGAGGGGGGAGGGGGGGGGGGTCAGTGTCAGATTATTGAACTCCTGCAATCAGTGTTTATGGCAGTAAATGGGGGAGGGGGTAATTATAGAATAATATGAATTAATTTAATCTGCCAGGATTCACATGCTGGATTATATGGGAGATTAGTGAATGTCTCACTGTGATGCACTGCAAACCTTTACCCACAAACAGTGACAGGGTTAATAAAGCTGGCAAGGATAGTGTCCCACCGTCATGTACTGATCACTAGACTTGGGCATTCGCTTTCAGAAAAAGTGCAATTTGGCGCATTCATTGGAATGGCACAATGGAAGAAAGAGCTAATCACACGATAAATACAATTCTTCCAATGACGATTTGTTCATTAGTTCCGTCTTGTCAATACATAGAATTGGTACCCTTATGTGGAATTATCATGTTTAAAGGTACCAAATTAGGGAGCTGATGTGTTTAATAGCTCCCTTATTTAATAACCGTAAATATAGCAATCCCATGTAAGGTACCAATAAGGGAGCTGTCTACTAAACCGCTGGAAAAAAATTAAGAAAAGGGCTTTTCATAATTTGGTCTTTCAGCTGTTTAGTAGACAACTCCATCACTTGTTTTCCGATGGTCCATATTTAAGGAAAAGAAATAAAAGAACTATCTACTAAACAGCATTCTAATGTGGTACCCTTAAATCTGGCAATCCCACATTGTGGTGGAATCTCGGTAAAAATAAATTTAGTAGGCCGAGATTACCACGTGGCATGTGTACGTGCATATGCTGACGTATCGATCAGTTGGTTGCACGAGGCAAGATACGATCAGTAGTGTACGGAGCATGTGCAAGAATACAGGATGTAGTATTCCCCTCCTCCATTGTGCTGGACAAGCCATGCGGTCAAGCAGGAAGTTAATTCTTATTTGTAATGATTGGTCAAGAGAATGTGCGGGTGGAGCTTAATATGGGAGGAGTTATGTGCCTATATAGGGAGCCTGCACTATTGTTCAGGGCTCAGAACTTGCTGTATTTTTGGTGACATTAGTCCCTCTGAGTCCCGATCGGTGATCCAATAAAGAATCTCTTCCTTCCTGAAGAAACCTGTGTCCATCTCTCTGTGCTTTGCTTCCGTCAGTTTCTCCGGTATCATTTGGTGCATTGGCCGGGAAGCTCATCGTTCAACGGTAGCTGAGAGGCAGAGGCGTGAGACGGTCTATCTTTGCCCACGTTCTCTACGGCTGCACCCCTGAACTTCTGCGTGGACCTCCCTTCGTCTCGGCGCCACTGGTCTGTTGTCCAGGAGATCATCGGCCTCTACGTAAGAAGTGCTGGGGTGTCCCCGTCGATGAGTGTGAACTCAGGTTCAGGAACGAGGAGGTAAGACAACTGCTGTTTTAGACGGCAGACCCACTAGGGGTATACCGATTGTGCGGTAGGCCCAAAAGGGGTTTAAATCTGTGTATGGAATCTGCCCCCTCTGTCGGAGGGAAGGAGCGAAGGCGCACCGCTCGATCGAACGCTCTTTAGTAAGACCGCTTTGATCTGGTTAGTCAGGCGGGGTCCTGTGTAAATAGCCCTAGCCGGACACCGGTGTCTTGTCTAGACTAGCGTTCTAGGGTGTATATTACGTTCGCTAGGTCGGAGGGACCGGGAGACTAAGCGGCGCCTGTGTAAATTCGGTTCGCTAGCTCTCAACCTATCTTGGCTAAGTGGGAAGGCGTGTAAATTTGGAACCCACTAGACTTTTGATAGAGTAAATAGACTAGAAGGGCAATTTTGTAAATTTCGCCCTCTAGTTCGCTATATGTGGTGTTTGGGCAGTGTGGCTAACCAAAACGGGTGTATATAGTTTTAGGTAGTCCATTCAAGGTACTGGCCAATAGTTTAGTTGGGATTGTAAATGTGTTAAAGATTGTTAGTAAAGTGTATATCTTGTTAGATAGCGCGAGCTCAGCCGTCTAGCGAGAGTGTTAATAGTGTGTTGCTGTATCATAGTGCACGGTACCATAACCCTGTATATTTACTGACACTGTATATAAGTACTAATCATTGTCGTCTATTGCATGTTTAACACCGTAACCACTAATAATTGTATTGTGACCTTAAATTGTGCTTTGACCTATGCTAACCGTACTGTAACCGATACTAGTAAAAGACGATGTTACTGGGGTGTGTTATAGACGGGTAATTCATATATAGAGAATTATAGCGTGGGTGACTGTATAGTTTCGCCAAAGGGCATAATATTGATTATTTAGTGACTGGTGTAACAGCTGTGTGTGTACGGGAATTCCCTGAGTGATTATTGTGTTATTGTGTACGTTTCACTCGGTAACTGTACCACGTGGTGCTGTTGCCAGAGGAAACGGGTGTGACTGTTGAATAAGAACGCGTGCATAGTATTCGTTGTCAACGACGTTCCATTGATAAGTATGGGCGCGTCAGAGTCAACGATTTCGGATCCCTTAGGTTGTATGGTAAAGAATTTTAAAAAGGGATTCAAAACATGTGATTTTGGGGTTAAAATGTCTCCTGTACGTTTGGTCACTTTGTGCACTAGGGAGTGGCCTATTTTGGTTGCGGCATGGCCGCCGCGTGGCAGTTTGGATCCAACCCTGGTACAGCGTGTACACGTGGCTGTGTCAGGTAGGCCTGAACTTTACGGACAGTTTCCATACATTGATTGTTGGGGGCAGGCCGTAAACGACTCGCCAAAATGGATCCGGATATGCCACGAGGAGCAATGTCGCCTCATGGTGGCCAGGACTTGTTTGTCCACTAGGACTGGTGTTAGGCCCATTTTGGACACGCCCCCTGAGTCCGAGATCCCTTTGCCGCCTCCTTACTTTCCTTTAAGAGGAAGTGACGCGAATGCAGGAAGCTCTGCACCCCTTCCCCTATTGCCCCCATCCACTTCCGCTTCCTCCTCCAGTACAGAATCCACCCCCCCTCATATTAAAACTCCCCTTCCGGAACCAGGACCAACCCCCATTAGATTTGAATATCCTGATTTGGCGCCACTTCAAACTTCCGGTCAAGCTTCTTCTAGCTCGGCTCGGAGTATACTATTCACTAACTTTTCCCAAAATCAAGTTCCCACATCCTCATGCCCTATTACCTCTCGACCGGAACCTTTAACTGACGCCCCTCCACGTAGCCCCATACTAACCCGACAACTGACCGGTACCCAACAATTAAAACATTATCAGATGCCTCTTCGTCTGAATCCTGGGTCAGCCTATATCGATGCCGCAGGTCAAATGGCACATGCTGACCCAGTCTTCGTATATGTCCCGTTCACGACTACCGATCTCTTGAATTGGAAGACCCACAATTCCTCGTACACTGAGAAACCACAAGCTATGACCGATCTGTTCACCTCGATAGTTCAGACACATAACCCGACATGGGCTGATTGCCAGCAGTTATTAATGACATTGTTCAATAATGAGGAAAGGACAAGGATTAACCAAGCGGCCATTAAGGCGCTAGAGGAGAGAGCCCGTGCTTTAAATCAAGCCAATCCGGCAGCATGGGCCGCAACACATTACCCTAACACCGATCCTGACTGAAATGTAAATGGCGCAGATATGGCTCAACTTAAAGCCTATAGAGACGCTATAATTGCTGGCATGAAAGCCGGAGGGAAGAAAGCTATTAACATGTCGAAGACAGTTGAGGTGATTCAGAAAAGTGATGAAGTGCCCAGTGTCTTTTATGACCGATTATTGGAGGCATACCGCTTGTATACCCCCTTTAATCCGGAAGACGCTGATAATTCCCGAATGGTAAACTCCGCCTTTGTCAGCCAAGCTTACGGAGATATTAAGCGCAAGCTACAGAAATTAGAAGGGTTTGCAGGTATGTCTATCACCCAACCAATGGAGGTAGCGAACAAAGTATATATGAATAGGGAAACAGAAAGTAAGAAAGAGGAAGAGCGCAAGATGCGTAGAAAGGCAGATATGCTAGCGGTAGCGATCGCAGGCGTAGATAGACGGAGCCCAGATAGAGGCGATGGTAGATGGAATAGGGAGCCTTTGAGTAGGAATCAGTGCGCGTACTGTAAGGAAGAAGGGCATTGGAGGAACGAGTGTCCGCAAAGAGAGCAGTATGAGAGTGACTTACCCAGGGCAGGTTACGGAAACTTTAGAGGCAGAGCGAGAGGTAGAGGAGGCCCCGGAGGGAGTAATGGTAATAGAGGGAGTAATGTGAACAGAGTAAGTGTAAGGGAAGATAGGTACTATCCAGCAGCGCAAAGGTCCCGCGATAGAGAAGGTAGGGACTTTGTGGGATTGGCTGACAAGGTCATGGAGGACTATTGATACCGACCGGGCTCCATCCCCCTTGGTCGAGCGGAGCCTATGGTCGATGTATCAATAG